CTTAAAAAGATAGTTTTAGGATTTTGATACACAAAAAGCTGGCTTTTAGGTTTAGAAGTTTTAGGTTGTGATATAGGTAAGATAATATTCCTTAATTTTTATCTAGAGTCAGTTATCTAATATGTAATTAACTATAGGGGCTTGCCCTTATAGGAAGCTTGTCTGAACTCAACTTAATATAAACCCTATTTAATCCTTCATATTAAATAGGGGAAATTGTCGGCAAATAAAATAGTTTCATAGACCAAATGAATGTCATATATTTCTTAGTTTATTTGATTGAGCTTCATCCTCAAGTCTTGTGTTTATCCTTTGGGATAGATACAGGGTTTGAGGTATAGTACTCTTTCATTTAAATTATGAAAAATATAGGGTCAGTTTGATTTCATATTTTTCTAAAACTTATATATATATATCTGTGTGTGTGTGTTTGTGTGTGTGTGTGTGTGTGTGTGTGATTGTTATTTCTGATTACATATTTCTGTCTTTGACATTTCTCCTTTCTGAGGGTTGTATCTGACGGTGAGAAGGTGTTCCAGCTATAACTTGTCTGAGGTGGTGATTATCTTCGCTTGTTCCATCCTTCCTGCTGCTGCTAGCCTCTCTAGGGCCTGTCGTTTCTGCCGCTAACCCCTCCAAGGCCTGTTTCGTCGGTCGCTAGCCCGTCCCGGTCCTATCTTGTTGCTGCTAGCCCCTCCTGGTCCTGTCTTGTTGCCACTAGCCCTTTCAGAGCCTATCTTTGCTGCCTCCAACCCCTCTAGGGTTTTTTCCGGCTATTGTCCAGGTCACAGCTGCCCCTTCCTGCTGCTATCTAGCCCACAGCCACCCCTTCCTGCTGCTGTCTAGTTCGCTGCCACCTTTCTTGCTTTCACCTACACCACAGCCACCTGCTGCCAGCCTCCTCCCAGCAGTCCCCCATCACTTCTATTGCCTCCAATGTCTTAGCCAACTGCCGCCTGACACCTTGCAACACTGTCACAGCTCTCTTCCTTTCCTTCCGAGCCTGCCGCTCTTCTCTAAAGGGTCGCTTATATGTTTTGTATTGTTTTCTTGCTTATTTTGTAGAGTTGTTGTTTGCACCTGCCATTTTTATGTTTATGTTATTTTATGTTTGAGGATTTGTCGTTGTAACTTTTGAATTCAGCTATAAAATTTGTCGTTCGGTCATGATTGATGTTAACTTTGGTATCACAAATGGATCTCTAATAAAAAAGGCAACTTTTGCATGAAGGGGCTCAAAAGGCTAAAACAGTGGATATAAAATTAGATTTAGGGCTAGAGGGGGATTTATTCATTTTGGTTTAGATTTTACCACAATTTATTTCTTATACTTGCTTTCAGTTACTGTTTTCAAAATCTAAATTTTGTTATTTATTAAACACATGTTTGTTTTATTTGAATTGGCACACGACAAGTGTATCCGACATGTGTTGGACATATGTTGCATGCTCAGAGAATGCTAATGTGTCATAGTTAATCAAATTCCTTTTCATAGTAGAATAAATTTGCTTCAGTATTCTAAACCAATAAGTAGATTCTAAACATTTGGCATATAAAAAAAAAGAATACTCAATAGGTGCGCTATTTTTTTAACTAAGCTCATTGTCCTAGCTTAAGCAAATTGGTTGCCCAATGTGGCTAGATGTTTTGGATAAAGCCAATTAGCTATTCACTTATAAGGCCAGCTTCCAGACCGCACAACGTGCATAGCTTTTTAGCTAAATTTCAATGATTTAATCTGGACTTAATTTATTTACCAAGTATGTTGTGAGACAATTCAGAGAATTGTATTGATCACTCTTTTTCAATTATAATTAAGATGTGGCTAAACAAAAGTTGTTCATTGAGAAAATACAGGAAACATATATACGAAAGATAACATATAATTGAAATATAGAGTCGCTTCAAATGATTGACTAATCAGCTTTTCGGATATGGGAATTAATTTGAGCTGTTATCATAACGAGCTACTTTCGAAATAAGCATTCTAGTTTATTTTAATATCAATTCCAACTCATATATGGCAATTAATTCTTTAGAGATCAATCAAAATTGGACAGCGTGCATGCCTTGCCGATGCTCTCTCACATCTTGGTGAATATGTATCTTCCATTTTCAGTTTAATAATAATCTCTTAAAATTATACATTGTTGAGTCTCCTTGTGAGGCTTCTGTCAATCTCTTCCTTTCCTTCCGAGCCTGCCGCTCTTCTCTAAAGGGTCGCTTATATGTTTTGTATTGTTTTCTTGCTTATTTTGTAGAGTTGTTGTTTGCACCTGCCGTTTTTATGTTTATGTTGTTTTATGTTTGAGGATTTGTCGTTGTAACTTTTGAATTCAGCTATAAAATTTGTCGTTCGGTAATGGTTTATGTTAACTTTGGTGCTTGTTCCATCCTTCCTGCTGCTACTAGCCTCTCTAGGGCCCGTCGTTTCTGCCGCTAACCCCTCCAAGGCTGTTTCGTCGGCCGCTAGCCCCTCCCGGTCCTATCTTGTTGCTGCTAGCCCCTCCTGGTCCTGTCTTGTTGCCACTAGCCCTTTCAGAGCCTATCTTTGCTGCCTCCAACCCCTCTAGGGTTTTTTCCGGCTATTGTCCAGGTCACAGCTGCCCCTTCCTGCTGCTATCTAGCCCACAGCCACCCCTTCCTGCTGCTGTCTAGTTCGCTGCCACCTTTCTTGCTTTCACCTACACCACAGCCACCTGCTGCCAGCCTCCTCCCAGCAGTCCCCCATCACTTCTATTGCCTCCAATGTCTTAGCCAACTGCCGCCTGACACCTTGCAACACTGTCACAGCTCTCTTCCTTTCCTTCCGAGCCTGCCGCTCTTCTCTAAAGGGTCGCTTATATGTTTTGTATTGTTTTCTTGCTTATTTTGTAGAGTTGTTGTTTGCACCTGCCATTTTTATGTTTATGTTATTTTATGTTTGAGGATTTGTCGTTGTAACTTTTGAATTCAGCTATAAAATTTGTCGTTCGGTCATGATTGATGTTAACTTTGGTATCACAAATGGATCTCTAATAAAAAAGGCAACTTTTGCATGAAGGGGCTCAAAAGGCTAAAACAGTGGATATAAAATTAGATTTAGGGCTAGAGGGGGATTTATTCATTTTGGTTTAGATTTTACCACAATTTATTTTTTATACTTGCTTTCAGTTAATGTTTTCAAAATCTAAATTTTGTTATTTATTAAACACATGTTTGTTTTATTTGAATTGGCACACGACAAGTGTATCCGACATGTGTTGGACATATGTTGCATGCTCAGAGAATGCTAATGTGTCATAGTTAATCAAATTCCTTTTCATAGTAGAATAAATTTGCTTCAGTATTCTAAACCAATAAGTAGATTCTAAACATTTGGCATATAAAAAAAAAGAATACTCAATAGGTGCGCTATTTTTTTAACTAAGCTCATTGTCCTAGCTTAAGCAAATTGGTTGCCCAATGTGGCTAGATGTTTTGGATAAAGCCAATTAGCTATTCACTTATAAGGCCAGCTTCCAGACCGCACAACGTGCATAGCTTTTTAGCTAAATTTCAATGATTTAATCTGGACTTAATTTATTTACCAAGTATGTTGTGAGACAATTCAGAGAATTGTATTGATCACTCTTTTTCAATTATAATTAAGATGTGGCTAAACAAAAGTTGTTCATTGAGAAAATACAGGAAACATATATACGAAAGATAACATATAATTGAAATATAGAGTCGCTTCAAATGATTGACTAATCAGCTTTTCGGATATGGGAATTAATTTGAGCTGTTATCAAGCATTCTAGTTTATTTTAATATCAATTCCAACTCCTATATGGTAATTAATTCTTTATAGATCAATCAAAATTGGACGGCATGCATGCCTTGCCGATGCTCTCTCACATCTCGGTGAATATGTATCTTCCATTTTCAGTTTAATAGTAACTCTTAAAATTATACATTGTTGAGTCTCCTTGTGAAGGCTTCTGTCAGTTGTTTTTCATAGAAAAATATGACATACCAATTAGATTATTATTTATTTTTCTTAAATGAGATATCTATATCTCAACATGCTTCATTTTTAATGTTGCATGGGATTTTGATCAATATTTATTGTTATTAGATTTAAACAACAAATCGTCATTGCTTTTCTCACTCAATTTTCAAATCCTCACGGAGAATTTTCATCAATAGTAATTCATACATCCTTTTTCCCTTTACTTTGAATTATGCTTCTACATTGGTGAAACCCCAAGAGAATTGTATTGATCTCACTTGATTCTAATTACAGGTAACAACAATCTTATACTAGCTTTACATATTGAAAAAAATGAAACACATGAGAAAGGAAATCTATCATTGAGAATAAAGTCCTTAATCAATAATTTTAAGATCCATAAATTAATTTGAGTTACTGTTATAGGTCCCTCCATTCTCTCTGAATGGTCAATGCTAGATGGTTTTTACTCCAGCACCTGCACCAACATTCTTTTCTCACATGTTCAGTCTAATATCGGACAACAAGCATTACTTCCGACAGTAAATTCATTGTTTTAGAAAATTTATTTTCTAATTTCTACCCAAACGAGTTAATAACCAATTGTTTGGAGATCTTGTTGGACCATTTTAAACATACTAAATTTATTTTTGGTAAGTTCAGGGTAAGATTTCTGAATATTTTTTGGCATAGTTTTGACTTTGATACCACTAAGTATCGAGAACACTGAGTCTGGTGTTGTTTCAAATTTTAAGGTTTTTTGCTTGTTTTGATTGAGAAAAATTGAAGGATATGAAATAAATCTCGATAATTAATGGTTTGATTATGAATCATTGACCGTTAGTATATAAGCCTTTTAACTCCTTTTTCATAAATTTAGCATCCAACCACATCCTAAGTTACTTCATGCAGCTGTGTGTATGCCTTTATGCTGCCTGCGCCAAAATTTTTGTGTTTATTATATTTTGCCAACTTCTTTTGTTGGATTGAACTGACATATATTTGTATCATTGATTGCTATTTGTAGTCACTGGTGCCTCTCGTGGATACGCGTTTGTTGAATTTGAAACTGAAAGAGAGATGCGACATGCCTACATGGTTTAATTTTCTATTCCCAGAACTTAGCCTTTTTTTCTCAATTTTTGTGCAACTCAGCTATATGCTTTTCAAATGTTACATTTAAAACTTTCAATATTATGCAATTGTCTAGGTGTGTCCTCTTAGTACTTTTTGCTGTAAACATAGATATTTTTCATTAAAGGAGTCGCAAAGTGCTTCGTATCGAGATATTAAATTGCATTGATATTCTTGTGATTGTAGATCTATTCTTTGCATTTTATGTTTTGTGAAATGAAATCTGTCCCTTGATTTCAGTTTTAGTGCTCTATTAAAATTTGGAAAATTTACATACATACCACTCAATTGCTTTGTAATTACATATCTAAACACTTCAGCTTCAATTTTTACATACATCCTTATGCGCCTTATGCATGAAAAAGTGTATTTCACTTTTTAAAAGTTAAAATGGTGATATTTTTTATGTGATATGAAAGATTTGGGTGGTATAAATGTAAAAAAGCAAAGTTTAGGTGTTGGGTATGTAACTACATGGGAATTGGATGATATGTTTGTAACCTTAAAATTTTACTTCACGTTTAAGTCTTCTTCCTTTTGATGTTACCATTTCTGGTTGGCTTGTAATCAACCTTTTCGTAGTGTATTATGTTTGTAGACGCTTGATAACATCCAGGTATAAGTTTAGCGCACATAAGTTTTGGCATGAAGAAGAGGCAATAGTTTGTTTAGCAGATGCAAACATGTATACAAAATAATAGATAGACTATTTCACTTTGAATGCCTTTTGATTTAGGTCCATTGTTATTCATTCACTCTAAATGGCATGATTTGGATATGCTCTTATGGCATGCTAGCCAGCTATTTTTCTTACTTCTATGGTCTCTAAATGATATTGGAGTTGACCCAAACCACAATAAAATAAATAAATATTATTACCGAAAATAAATAGGCGGTTACAATCAACACAATTGAAAGGGAAAATACAACAACGATACCTGAAAATCTGAAATAGCAACAGACGCAACGCAAATAATCAAATTAGGGTGTGTAACAGACCTACACCTCTAGGCACCAACAAGAATAATGTCTCCACTTCCCCTACCAAAAGCTCCAGCGTGAACTGTTCTTATTTTAATTCAGCTACAGTTTATCATGGTATCAGAACACTAGGCGATCCAGGGTATCTTCCATATGCTCTAAACTTCCCTGATCTTCCCTCTTTTACATTTTTCATTGACCATGTCGGCAACGCTCTCTCAAATAACTCAAGAAGATACAGATGAGTCATTGGACAGAGCTGTAATCCCTATTCGCTCATCTCTAAAATTTTTTATGTCCAACATCAAAAACATAACCGACGTCCAATTAACCGCAGAAAACTATGCAACCTGGAAATCTCAAATCTACAAGCTCTTCAAAGCCAATGGATTTGAAGACTTTTTTTATGGAACCGCCATTTGCCTCGCATTCCATAACCATGACTCCAATGACCAACTCATTCCCAACCCTCTCTTTCTTCGGTGACAACTCATAGATGAAATTTATCTTCGGCAATCTACTTCACTATATCTGAAACAATCTTACCCTACTTCTTAATCTTGAATCCACCAATGACACTTGGAAAACAGTTCAATGTCGCTTGCAATCTATCAACTGATCCCGTGTAATCCAACTCCAACTCTGAAATGAACTTCATCACATCTCCATGAAAAATTAAACCATGTCTCAATACCTATTGACCAACAAAACCCTCGTCAAAAATATCGCTGCAGCCGAAGGCTTTTTGTCAGGCATAGGGTAAATAGGAGTGGACCTCACAACTCGAGGGGGGAAGACGAATGCCGGCGGCTAGCCTAACAGAAATCTGAGCCAGAATTGCCTAAAAATACAAAAACAACATATTTATAGACATAGGATAAATAGGAGTGGACCCCATGGCTCCCAATAGGAGGAAATTCACTTAAAAGGAATGGTTGACCAGCCCTCCTGGACCGGTCCAAGGGGCTCATAGTAGTTCCCGGTACTGCAGCTTACTGTAGCTTACTACATAAAGCACATTATTCTGCCGGTGTCTTGAGATGATATATGGAACTTTGTTTCTATTAATCACTCCTATAATCGTAATTTTGCTTATTCATTATCATTAATTGGGAGAGCAATACAAACTGTTTTGAGCTAGTTATTCATTCAGCCTTTACTTGTTTACTTAATATTGATAACGAATTTTTTTGTTTGTTTCTCTTCAATAAAGGAAGAATATGGTGATCCAAACTATTATTGGTGCAATTATATAATTTAGATTGAGTTATATGTTTATCTTATGAAAAATACAAAGGCGATGCAGTCTAGGATCATAATTAAACGACTCATTATAATGACCCATGACACATTATGTGAGGTTTTGCACATTTAAAATGCCATTTTTTTAAGCAAAGTTTGACAATTGTATAAAATCCACAAAGTGTAAGCTGCCAAGACCATTGTTTTTAGATTCCATTTTGAAAGGATCAGCTTCTCTAAAATATATTTTGTTAATCTGTAAGTTTGATATTTATGATAGTTGTGATAGTTCACTTCAGGATGATGGAGCTGAGTTTCTGACATATGACAACTTTCAAACGAGAATGCGGTGATCAGCAGATTAAAATCAGTTTATACTGCACAACATACGCAACTTTTACTTCCACATGCAATTGCACCATAATTTACAAGGAATATATAGATGTTTTAGCAGGCTTTAATTTTATGTCAGACTCCAGGGAAACTTTAATATGTGAAATTAGATAATCTAAATTGAATTTTATCCATCACCTTATTCCTCCCATGAAAGTAGTTAGGGTTTATTTGGGACAGCTTTTTGTCTGTTTTGCTTTTCAGGCCACCACCATAATTTTGTTTGGGAAATTCCTTTCTTGCTGCTTTTTAGATATATATGTTATAAAAAAATTGTTCTTTTCAATTAGAGTTGTTTAAGTGCGGTGATTGCCAGAAAGCTGTGATATAACTTTTTGAAAATAAAATAAATTTATGATAACCACCGCAGCTTTTTGAAAAACAGTTTATTTTGCAGCAGTTTCACAACTGTTTCTTCAAACAACTACAACTGCCCCAAACAGATCATATTATTCTCTCTTTCCAAGGATTGTTGTTAAAGAGAAATGTAGATAATTTTATAGTACTTGTCAGTTTCATATCGAAAAATATTCAGTTAACAAGTTTTGCAATTTTCAAGCTGTCATTTTGAACCTTTCTTCTTATCTGCAGGAAGCACATCATTCATTCATTGATGACACTGAAGTGATTGTAGATTATAACAGGCAGCTACTTATGCCTGGATGGATTCCAAGGAGATTAGGTCCGTGGAATAATTTACGTTACTTATCCTCATTTCTCCTTTCCATAACTCATTCCTAATTCTACAGAGAACGATTTTGCATGGTAACAAATTTTAGAGATTTCCCATCTTTCCAATTTATCAGGTGGGGGACTTGGAGGAAAGAAGGAGTCTGGTCAACTCCGCTTTGGAGGTCGAGAGAGGCCATTTCGAGCCCCTTTGTATGATCTCCCACCACTCTTTTCTCTCCCTTCAAATTTTTGTAAGAACTCTTTTTTTTAGTTGGAGAGAGAGACTCAGTGCTTCTCTTTGCATATCTTTCTCCTCCAAAAAAATAAAATGTACTGGCCAAGATCTAAGAAGGGAAAAGTAACTAATGTAAAATGTAGCTCAATTTTGTATTTTATCTTCTTAAAATCTTAGCTATTCAATATGTTAATGGAGGATGAACCATATGTAAGGAGAGAAGAGTCTGCCATTCTAAGAGGATTATTCTCTCTCTCTCTCTCTCTCTCTCTCTGCCTCTCTCTTATACAAGAGAGAAGAAGAGAAAATTTTTTTGGCATAGTTTTATGGAATGAGTGGATGCTTGCATTTCTCAGGCTTTTGATTATGTAGGCGTCCAATCCCATATGATGATTTGAAAAGGCTTGGCATTCCGCCGCCTCCTGAAGGGCGGTTCTTATCTCGCTTCCATGTATGTTGCTCCGTTTGGCTTTGTTCATAATCAATTTGGTGGTATCAAAATTACATGCTTACTTTTCTTGAGACAGTTTTTTTTTGGGCTCCAATAAATTTGATATGGATTCCTCTCTTTTATTGAAGGAAAGAATTAACTATCCTTGCAAAAATTAAGTACTGAAAACATGCACCAACTTTTTTTGAGTAGTTTAATTTAAGCAATTTGGATCAGTTTTTGCATCTCTTCATTTTAAAGTTACCCATATGTGTATGTCCACCAAGTTCTATAGGGACAAGTTGGTTTAGGTGATTTATTATGTAAAATGGAATGTAATATAGATGTACCATTAGAAGGGTAGATAGAATAAATGTGGAAGTCAAATAAAGGAACATTATGAATATGTTTTTAGCTAAAAGCTTTGCTTAAAATAGAGTTAGCCTCTTGTTTTTCAACAGTCGGCATGAATGAATGGAAAATGATCTATAAAACCAAACTTTTAGTCAGATAATTATAGAGTGAATTGTCAAAATAACCCCTCGACTATTTTCATGGTGCCAGTTTGTCCCCGAGTCTATAAAAGTGTCAAATTGTCTCGAGTCTCTTTAAATTAGAGCTGAAATGGTCCTTCTCAGCTTATATTAAATGAGTTTAGGTACTAAATTGATCATTTTATAGACTTTGGGACTTAAATGACCCTCTGCCAAGAGTAAGGAGACTATTTTGACACTTTTCTCGATAGTTATAACTTTGATGATGAAAAGTGGATCAATTCGTAATGGTTGTTTGAAGCGTACTGTAACGTTTCTGTTGTAAATTACTCCTCATTTATCTCTTTCTTTATGCCAGATTCCATCACCCCCAAGGAGCAGCAATCACTTGGAAAGGGAAGATTCACCTATCAGGCATAGGACATTTGGGGATAGGGAAGATACTCCCCCAAGGAGAAGCAGTGCAGCTGCGACATATCGAGAAGATTCGGAATTGAGATACCGTAGGTCTGAGGAAAGGAAGGAGATTCCAACTAAGTTGAAGAACACCAGAGAATCTCCGCGTCGGCGCCGGAGATTCATTGACGAAGACTCCACAAGGAGAAAAGGAAGAAGAAGCCCATCTGATGGAGCCGAGTTTTTGCACGAGCTTCATAGGGATTATACCGAAAGGTCACATCGGCACAAGAAGAGGTCACCAAGTTGATTGTTCAAACTATTTGTTTGATTCTAAAATTTGGTTTTCTTTCATGAGCATTTTCTTAATGTTTTATGTAGTCATTTGAAACTTTAATGTATAAATATGAATGATGTTAATGCATATGAATGTGAAATTTCATGAACTCCAACACGCTATGAATCATTGTTGGTTATTTGACATTCTAATTGTTAATGTAAACAATGACATTGTGGTGGCTAATGCATTGTTTCTTATGGAACAGAGCTGCACTTATCATGAAAGCTTCTCATTTTATCAGTAGTTGAGACTAGCACTGCATTGAGGGAATTGTTCTCATTTTACTAGTGAAAACGACCAGAAAAACATGAACATTTACATTCATAGCACATAATACTCGTGTATTTATACATTTATATTACATTCATAGTACATAAATATTTATCATTATATCAAAAATATCACTACAAATATTTAAAAGTGAAATACACTTTCACATTGCACAAGTCTATAGCACAAAGGGTTATAATTATAATTATGAAAATTTAGGTATTAGATACTTAAATACAGAAGAACTGTGTGATATTAGGGGTGTAAACAAGCCGAACACGAGCAAGCCCAAGCTCAGTTTGTGTTTATTTAGATACTTAAATACAGAAGAACTGTGTGATATTAAGGGTGTAACCAAGCCGAACACGAGCAAGCTCAGGCTCAGTTCGTGTTTGACTCATTAAAAAATATCATTATTCATGTTCGGCTTGTTTATATTTTGAACACAAAAAGTGTGTTCGTGATTGTCTCGTTTGCTTAGTAAGTCGAACATGAGCTGCTCGAATCATTTTGATAACCCTAATCACGCAGTCATGGGATGTTAAGTGTTAGGATAATATTTTAACCTTATTATTTATATTCAAATATCGTTCAAATACAATTTACTATATTTTTATTCTATTTTTTAATTAATAATTTTAATTGATTATAAATCTTTATAGCTTTGTAGTCAATTAATTTTTTTTTTAAATTCTACTCATCAATATATAGATATATATATATATATAATGAATTAATTAATAAGTTGTAGTTCGAGCTGAACATGAACGAACAAATCTTATTTCATGTTCAGCTCATTTATATATCGAGCACAGAAAACGCGTTCATGTCCGGCTCGTTAACTTAGCGAACGAATCAAACACAAGCTTCTTAACAAACCAAACACGAGCTATTCGTGAACAACGAGCCATTTTAACAGCCTTAGATACATATATAAATTTCTCATGAACATCATATTTAATGGTTATAACTACCGTAGTAGAGTCCATCAAAACTATAGTCAGAGGTTATAACCATCAAAGTTAGCTATAACAATTTATTTTACACAATAAAAAAAAAATTAACCAAATATTAATTTTCTTAAAAAAAAAACTATTTTTAACAAATAAATTAAATTAATTTAAAAAATATATAATATATTTATATTATATTCGATATAATTGCCGGCCTCTAGCTGTCGGTTGTGGTGCTCTCGCATTAAATTTAGGGGAGCATTGAGCAGCAATCTTCCCTTCACCTAATTGTTCCCTCTATTATATGCATTCTAATGATTATGGACAAAGTGGGCCTAATTTGGGTCCAAAAGAATTTCATCAAAATTTGATTCGACCGAACTTCGTATGAACAATCTATGATTGCATGTATGTAATCATTCGAACATATTTTATTTATTTATTTTTTATTTTATCAAAAATAATAAAATAATGCACTTCATGTTGTATTTTATAAGGTTGGAAAATTCAATATATTGTCATAAATCATGACATAATTATACACTTTTAGATTATAAGAGATTTTTAAATAAAATAAAAAATTACACAATAAAATCATAAAGGATCATATGGTGAATCGAAAAACAAGATAAAATTTGAATGAATTTTGAAGAAATGTTTTTTTTTTCTTTTTTTTCAAGGTATATAAATAACTAAACAAAATAAGAATTACATTTATGTGAGTGATAAGTTTTTATGGAGGAATGCATTAATTATTATTAAAAAAAAATTATCATTTTCCTTATGATAAATATGATATCAAACTATTTATTTAAGTAGATTACAAAATTATGTGTGTGTGTGAATCTCGAGAAAATCTAACGGTCCAGATTAAAAAATTCATGACGATGATCCTCTGATGAATTACAAAGAATCATGAATCTTATCAACTGAAGGCCGTCAGCCAATTGATAGCCAACCGACGGAAGGATCGACAATCGGCTAGAGGCTATTCTAATGACCCAAACCTAGGCCAACAAGAGACAGACATTCATGCCAACAACCGAACAAAGGTCTAAACCTCCAACAATCTCACAAGTACCAACGTGAAGCTCTTTCAATAAATGCCCTGAAGATCTCTAAAAGATCTCCACGGAACAATGATCAGACAAGCAAATTGGTCGCTTTAATGTTGACCGATTACCACACTCAAGAACCGACCAACTTCCCCAAACAAAGGTCAGTCGGTACCCCGACAAAAGGCCGACCGAAATCAACTTAGTTGACCGACCCGAGGACCTGCCTGCCAAAAGATTCAGGCACACTAAAAAGTGCCAAAATCGGTTATGAATACTAAAAGATGCAAAAAGTACCATAACAATTTGTGACGCCCTTATTAAAGCTGAGTTAAACATGTAATTTTATATTTTATCTCTCTATCTCCTATAAATAAGAGAACCATAACATATATTAAGGGTTTTTAGCTCCTCTTCTTTAGAATCATCTTCTAAATGGAAAACTCACTCCCCTTATCTCTTGTAACCGTCACTTTCAATATAAAAAATGAGTCACAGAGTCCGGGAATACCTTATTCACCCCTACGGGACAAGTCTATGTTTATTCTCTTCTTCTCTCTCCCTCTTTGTCTGTCTCTACCTCTACCTCACGGTTCCTACAACTCCAATTCTTGAGCACTCATCACAGGAGAAATTTAAATTAAACATCCTAAAAGATGCGATGAGCGTGGAACATGCTACCGACAAGAAGAGAAGTAACACCAATGAAAAGAAATACAACTCAGAGACGCTCCTAACAGGGAGCACACCAAGGAATTCATGCATCAACATATTTGGAGCCGAAAAATCTATTTAAGTGTTTTCTTAAAGGATTGGAAAAGAGGCGAGAGCCACAAAATGAACGACCAACTCCCAACGGTCGGAAAACAATCTCGAAGAAGGCCAACCGACTATATCGGACAATATTCAATCGATTTAGTGAGGCTGTCACCATGCTTAGTGAAAAGAGGGGGTATCATTTCAAAAGTTATCATTTATGTTTTGCTACATAAATCTTTGTTTTTTTTTAATGTTTGCTAAGATCTGAATAACACTCAAGAAACTCAAATCCAAGTAGCAATGCCGACATCAACCTCAAAGAGGTCTGGTAGGCAAAATAGCCCACACGCTTCTACATCATAAATCTTGATCTCCAAATCAGGATAGGATAAAGCCTTGGAGATTGTTCTCTACTCAGCAACGACATGCTCGGTTAAGGGTGCGACGCAAATCACCCCAGCAGCTAGTGTCAAAAGTTAGTTGATCGAGGCGACAATCCAGCCAAATAACTGAGAACTTGAAAAGTGCAAGATGCGAGCTAGGCACCAATATCACAAAATAAATTGAAAATAACACCATAGACATCCGATTAGAAGAAAGTATTAAAGAAGACCAGTGTCCTAATACAAAATCTGACCCTCAACGCCAAGTATCAAAAAGTCTGCCTGAAAGCTCAATGTGGACAAAACCCTGGAGGTCATCTCTATCCATTAGCAACAAGCTCTGCGAACAGTACGACACAAATTAACCCAACAACAATTCTCATCAGTTACCCGACCGAGGGACCAATCCACAAAGCCCGGGAATAATATATATAATGGATTGCAAAACCCTAGAATGTCTCAATTTGCCCCTACGGGCACTCTCTCCTCCTCTCCCCCTCCTCTCTCTCTCTCTCTCTCTCTCTCTCTCTCTTCGATCATTGGACATGCCTCCCATGACAAATATGAATTCAACATAAATATTTAACTTAAAATAATAATTAATATTACCCTATTATCTGACGTTTATCCAAATCATTAGAAGTGTATATATATATATATATATATATATATA